TTTTTTTTTTTTTTTTTTTTTTTTTTTAATTAGCATTCTGCAACACAGGTGTCCTGCCATTGTACGTTGGGGTGTAATTTAAATGAATTGCTAGTGTTCTGTCGCAATGATACAGTGTGAATCCGGCCGTAGAGCCCCACTCTGGGCACCAGAAACATATTGCCCTTGCAGTGCCTCCCCCGACCCACACTGCAAAGAATGTATGCTCCTTGGGTTACGTTCAGTCTAGGAGTAGAGGAATAAGCTGTTACAATTGCCTTCAGCCCCTCCATCTGTGTGGCTTCTTCTCTTCAGTGCTCCAATAGCGGTCACACCATATATAATGCAGGATGGTGGCAGCCCACCCGCAACTCGGAGCAGTGGAGGAGAGAGCACTGCAAGTCTGCAGGAGGGAGCATTAAGGTAAGTACACCTTGTCCCTCTACTCTGAGGCTCAGTAAGTGATTAGCCCTAAGGGAGCGACCACTACATTCATTGACAAGACATGAACGCAGAGCAAGCTGTCATTTGCTGGTAATTTCACTGGACGATGGTCATGTGACCTTACGGTTTATCTCCCCAGCTCGAAGAAAGTCCAACATCGTTAAAGAAATGGAGAAAATGAAGAAGACAAGGGAAGAAAAGAGAGCTCAGAATTACGAAATGAGGACCAAACGTGTGCAGGTCTGTGTACGGACTTAACCTGGGAGGTTGATATTTAAAAGGAGACTCCACCAAAAAAGTGATTTGAGTGGGAGTCTGGAAGCCAGCTGCTGTCTAGTTTTATCTTGGGGTTATTGTCAGGTTTTCCCTCACCTTGGGGGTCATACTCTAGTGCTAAGCACTGCAGTCATGGTGTGCAGAACCAGGAAATCATGCACAGGGACCTTCCCAATGCAGTCCCTGAGATATAGAAGGGGAGGTCAGGAGGTCTAGAGTATATTTAAAGCCATAACACTTTGTTATCCTATTGGGGCTGATTCCTTCACTTCCTGTGCCAGAGGCTCAACTGGAAAAAAGACAGTTCTCACTCACGTTTTGGCTTCTGATCCTTGGTTCTCAACTGGTGGGTCGTGACCCTGTGTTCAGTGGGTTGCCACGTGCCTCTTCCACTTTTCTAGGTGAGAGGCTTCTCAGCCTTCCCCTA